ATGGGGCTCGATCCCAGGACCCCACCAGGATCATGACCTGAGCTGAAGGCAGATGCTTAACTGACTGAGCCACCCAGGCATCCCTAAAGTAAATCTTTAAAATAAGATAAAAATCTTCAAAAAAAATTGTTGAAACCACCCAACAATGAATTTAAGACCCTAAACCATAAACTAGAAAAAAATGGGCAGTGACCTCCCTAACACTTGATGTTGGTGATGGTTTTTTGGACTTGACACCAAATGCAAAAGCAACAAAAGCAAAAAATAAACCAGTGGGACTACACCAAACTAAAAATCTTATCAACACGATGAAATGGAAACCTACTAAATAGTAGAAAATATCTGTAAATCGTGTATCTGATAAGGGGCTAATATTCAAAATTCCTGCAACTTCATGGTAACAAGTCAATTGGATTAAAAATGGGCAGAAGACATGACCAGACGTTTCTCCAAAGACGACATCCAGGCGACCAGTAGACACATGAAAAGATGCTCAACATCACTCATCATCAGGGAAATGCAAATCAAAACCACGATGATCTATCACCTCACACCTGTCAGGATGGCTAAAAATAGAAAACACGAAAACAGATGTTGGCGGGGATGTGGAGAAAAAGGAACCCTCATGCACTGCTGGTGGGAACGCAAGCTGGTGCGGCCACTCTGGAAAACAGTATGGAGGTTCCTCTACCTGTTAAAAATAGAGCTACCCTACGACCCAGCAGTTGCACTTCCAGGTACATATCTGAGCAAAACAAACACTAATTTGAACATACCTACACCCCACCATGTTCATAGCACTATTCACGACAGCCAAGATTTAGAAACAACTCAAGTGTCCATCAATGGATAAATAAAATGTGTTGTCTGTCTCTCTTGCACTCACACACACACACACAAATATTATTCAGCCATGGACCTTGATATGCCATGATGCTAAGTGAACTAAGTCAAATACTGCATGATTCCCCTTATATGTGGAATCTTTTTTTTTTTAAGATTTTATTTGAGGGGCGCCTGGGTGGCTCAGTCATTAAGCGTCTGCCTTCGACTCAGGTCATGGTCCCATGGTCTCTCTCCCACTCCCCCTGCTTGTGTTCCCTCTGTCGCTGTCAAATAAATAAAATCTTTAAAAAAAAAAAAATTCTATTTGAGAGGCAGAGAGTGAGCACAAGCAGGGCGCGAGGAGCAGGGAGAGGGAGAAGCAGACTCCCTGCTGAGCCAGGAGCCCGAAGTGGGGCTCGGTCCCAGGACCCTGAGATCATGACCTGAGCCGAAGGCAGACGCTTAACCAGCTGAGCCACCCAGGCGCCCCACATGTGAAATCTAAAAGCAAAGCAAAGCAAAAACCAAAAATCAAGCGCATAGGCACACACAACAGACTGGTGGTTGCCAGAGTTGAGTGGGGGGGGGGGGGGGGGAAATGGGTAGAAAGAATGAAAAGGCACAAACGTCCAGGTGTAAACTAAAGCCACTGGGAAGGAATTCAGGGCGTGGTGACTACAGGTAATAACACTGTTGTATATTTGAAAGTTGCTAAGGGAGTAGATCTTAGAAGTTCTCATCGCAAGAAAGAGCGTTTTGTGATCATATGTGGTGAGGGATGCTAACCAGAGTCGCCGTGGTGGTCACTTCCCAGTATATGCAAATATTGAATCATGTTGTCCACCTGAACCTTGTCTACGTTCATTATACCTCAATGATAAAAAAAAGACACCGTTTCTAATAAGAACCATAGAATTATACTGCATTAAGATACTTGGATTTTAGGGCACATACTTTCCTCTGAATGTTAGTTCTTGGAATGACAAATTCATGCTCCTCATCCTTATGGAACACACATTTTTAAAGATGTCTCGAGATCTCCAAAGACACTAACAATGAACTCTGGGGCAGACAAGTGAATTGTTTCAATAAATCCCAAAGGAACACGTGAAGAGTCTAGGGAGGGGTGTGATGCCGCATGGCGGGCTCCGAGGGGACAGGGCTCTGCCCGCACCTCTGGGCCCCACTGCGCTCCAGTGGCCTCCCGCACAGGTGCAGAGGCCTCTGTTGGAACCCGGTGTCCGTCTGACTCCCGGCCCAGGAGCAGAGCCCGTTGGAGACGTCAGTGGTGCCCCCAAGGGTGCCAGTGGCGCTGCTGAGTGTAAGGCAGAGGCTTGCGGCCTGGAGGGGTTTCGGGACGCGTCTGCAGACTTGGCCACGGGAACGGGGCTCCTTTGGTGACTTACCAGCTACGGGCTTGTCAGAGACACGGCAGGTGTCGCTGGTTCTCACAGTCCTCGAGTGCAGGGGGCTGAAAGTGAACGCAGGGCCGTGCTTGGGGAAGCAGTGCCGCCTGAGGCAGGAAAGGACAGGCCAGGTACCCCTGCACGGCGGCAGCCCAGCCTCCCAGCCAGCGGGGCTGCTGCCCGCCCTGGACACCCGATGCTGGGACCCCACCGGCGCTCACGCCCCAAGGAGAGGGACATGCTGCCAGACGAGGCGTGGATGAGCCCAGCAGCCCAGGCCCAGATGACACTCACCTCCACACGTTCTTCTGTCCGTGATTCCCTGCTCATCCCTTCGGGGCCACAGCTCCACGGCATGCAAGTGTCCCTGTGTCCTGTATGTGCCCGCCCCTCACCAGCTCCATGGGGGCGCGTTGTGGGGCCAAGGCATAGAGTGCAGACGGGAGCCCCTGACCATGACTGTGTGCTGCAGGGTACCCACCTGCACCCCATCACCACACTGGTGTGAGGGAAACCCCTGGCCGAAGGCCTGCGTGGAGCAAGCACCCAGTAGAAGGGGGTTGTCACCATCAGGAGTAGCACCCAGGCCTGTGACTGGGCCTGTGACAGCCTTGTGTGTGTAGGGGGGAGGGGGGCTGCCTTTTAACCCCATGTGATCCCTACCCCATCCATAGTTGGCTCCTGGCCCCGCGCCCAGCTGGTGTGGAGACTCCTCGTGGGGAACATGCTCAGCTTCCTGGGGTGCTCCCTGCTGTGGGCACAAAGGAGCCCCTTTGCACCGAGGATGGGACCCAAGGCAAGCACGGTCGAGCCTGGCCAGGCAGGTGCGAGCTGACCACACAATGGGCCTTCCAGCGAGGGAAGGAGCCCAGGGTCAGCAGGCCGAGGCCTGAAGGCTGCCGTCTGTGGGCCCCGGATGCTGCCTTCTCTCCACCGGGAAGGCCCAAGGACCAGGGTCTTGGTCAGTTATCACGCCAGCTCGTACGAGGCTTTTCTGGACTTCCTACACTCCCCTGCCAGAGCCCCCGAGCCAGGTCATAATGAAATGGTGGTTCCGTCCCCACTTAACCCGAGACAGAGCCCTAGGGCAACCCCCGCCTCAGACCGGGGTGCGCACAGAACGATGTCCCCCAGGCGACAGGCACCTGCTGGCCCTTCACCTCCGGAGCCAAGGCGTCGCCGTCACCCAGGCCGACTCAGGGCTCCTCTGCGCACAGGGCACGGGTTTGAAAGAAAAAGCCCAAGTGCCAATTTGGACATTCTTCTCAACCCCCTCAAGCAAAGACCTGTAGCAATTCCTCCTGGGAAAGCAACGTGGCGACCCAGAGCCCCGGACTCAGCCTGGCCAGCAGGGACTGCCCACACGTGCGGAGCACGGAGCTTTGGGGACAGCCCCCAGCTGGGCAAACAGAGGAGCGGCAGAGACGTGGCCTTTGTTCTTGTCCCACCGCGAACGCCGAGGATTTGTGGACAGCTGACCACCCGACTCTGAGTCTTACACTAGCTTAGCAGCTCAATTTTCCTTAAAAAAGCATGTCTAAATCCACACTTGAATACAGCATATTCACCCCAATCCAGGTCACCAGCCTAGAGCACCGCAGCTTTAAGAAAACGGCGGCACAGAATTCTAAGGATGAAAACAACTCACACAACTTGCTTTCAGGAATGGAGACGATGTAACTGTAAACGAGAGAAAAGGGGGAACGCTGCAGCGGCCGCAGGGACAGCGCTTCCTCCGGCAGGTCCCCTCTGCGATGCGGCGGCGGGCCCGCTTCCTACTTGGTGGGAAAGGCCGTCCGAACACACGCTGCAAATCCAGTTAAGACATTTAAAATTTATTACACCTTTTGATCAAAATAGTTGAACATGTATATACAATCCCATTGGAACTTTTTCTGAAGGACCAGGGTGGACTAACACTTCGAGAACTCTGCTCCACACCTCAGATTTGTCGACTGCGCCACAACGGATATACGGCAAGAATTATTTTTAGATTAACTCTACTTTGAAATTCTCCATTTCTAACTGAATGTGATTTGAAGTGGCTGTTAACATTAATTCAGGGAAATGAACAGAATGTTCATTATCAAGACATTGGTTCTTACAGATCGATACCGTTAGTAATCAAGATACGCCTTAAAATTTCAAGAGCGGTGCGTGCACCCCGGCGCTCCCGTCCCCTGGAGGACGCTGTGATTTGGGCCCGTGTGTGAAATCCCAGTAAGGTCCAGTCACTTAGCATTGTTACACCTCTACAGTTTGTCTTGGGAAATGCTGATTTCTGGTATCAAAGATCCTACTTTAAAAATACGCCACACCAGGGTAGTGATGGCATCGCACAGTAATTACAGTTGCTTAATTCTGTTGGCTTGAAATGCAGTATGAAACTGAGCATGCATGTAATCTCAGCAATTTTTAAAAAGAGTATCCCTCCCACAAGTACTCTTTAAAAAGGTCTAAAGAGAAAGCACGTCTGTGTTCCTGGCTGTACGGGAAACCAGATGTTGTACTTCCGTAGCGGCGGTTCTGCTGCTCACAACTCTCTTTCTCAGAGGCGATCCCAGGCTTTGTGCAGACCTTACCTGGTGTGTTACCTGCACTCTTTCCACAGAAACGAAATAGAGTTACAGAGTTTGGGACGGACGGGTTCAGAGCACACGTGCCACCATTCTGCCAACGGAGGACAGAAGCTTTTCATGTTGTTCCAAAGCACGATTCTGCAGAATTCCATCATGTGCCATGAAAGCAAATAAAAAGCCGATACTTATCTTGGATTTAAAAACACGTTTTAGAATGTGTGGCTTTTATTCGGTGGTCACACCAGAAGGCGTGATGGTAGATACAGGTGTGGGGGGGGAGTAAAGCTGCCTGAGCCTGCTTGGCGAACCCATGCCCGCAATGGAGGCCAGCTGGGCTCGGAGGAAGGCGGGGGGGGGGGGGGGGGCGCCCGCCAGCAGAGGCGGGAGGTTGGGGGGGGGGGGGGGGGGGGGGAGGGCTGCAGAGGGACAGACATTCCATCAGACAACTTTTCTCTTGGGTGTTACCTTTTTGGTCTACAAACTGGAAAGCAAGGCTCAGACTGAAATAAATACATTTATTCTGAGTAATGGCCGTTACTGAGCACTGTCCACCAATGCGGCGCTGAGTGGGTGAGTGGGTCTTCCGCGGAGCAGCGACCTGGCCCGCCTCGCTGCGGGTGGAAGACCGGCCCCTCCAGTCTGTGAAGGGGAGCGGGCAGCACCTTGCTGCTCCTCACCGGGAGGAGGCCGCGCCCCTCCTCAGAGAAGACAGCCGGGCCCAGTCCCCGCGCTGGCTTCCTTAGTTGACTTTGTCCTGGAAGATGTACAGGTTGTTGGTGGCGGCCACGGCGATAATGTTCTCTGCCGGGTGCCAGGCCGTGTGCAGGATCTTCTTATTGAAGTCCAGACTGTCCACACTAATCTCGTCCTTCTTTCTCTTACCGCCTGTACACACTTTCCGAGGCTTTAAGCTGGCTCGAGGCTTGCTGTTCTCCCGGGAAGCTTCCAGCGTGACATCCCTCCGTGTATTCCGATCAAACATCCTGAAGAAGTTGTTGTAGGACCCCGTCATGATCGCACTGCTCAAGACAAGAAGAGAGAGTAACGCCTGTCAAGGACAAAGCGCTCAACACCCCCGCCGCACGCAGGCCCAGCGCCCTGGACGCCCAGCGCCGGTCACCTTCCCTCACCCCTCCTCTACCTGACAAGACCATTTCTAGAAATAAGAAACAACAGTAGAACGGTCAGGAGAGACATGCAGTGAAAATTTCCTCCTGAACTGCGTATGTGCCATCATGTCAGCAAAACAATACAGGATAGAAAGGGAAAAAAGGAATAGCCACACTTTTAATCACGCTTTTTAAGTGATCTCTACACCCAACATGGGGCTCAAACTCATGCCCCGGAGATCAAGAGTCCTGTGCTCCTCTGACTGAGCCAGCCAGGCGCCCCACATTAATGCCTTTCTACAAAGTAAAAAAACCCGGCACGATCCCAGCCCTGAGTAACTGTGATTTATTTTCAGGTCTTGAACATTTCCAACTCTGTCAATGATTCAAAGTCGGTTTGTGTTCAGTGGACATTAGTCAGACTTCTCCCAGCACAACACACAGTAGCTCAAAGAATACTTTTTAATTCATTTTGATGTCACGAAGTTCTTTCACAGGAAGCAACAAGAACACAAAGGGGAAAAGTCCTAGACCTCAGTGTGGGTCTCAGACGCTGCCGTCTGCCCACGGTCGCGTTTCTCCGGCATTAATTCTAATGGCTTCTGCCATCTCTACAGTTGAAAACGTTTGTTACACTGGTACAAACTTCTGGTCTTTTTCTACAAAACAGAGAAAAATGGCTCACAGCAAGTGTTGCCATGATTTGGCCCGTGGCCACCGCAGACGAGGAGGTTCAGACCTTGCCCCGTGGACGGGGCGGATCCTGCTGGCGGCACAGCCCGGTCCTGGCAGCTCCCTGCAGTCTCCTCCGAGGAGCCCATGGCCTCCTGTCTCGAGGCACGGCTAGCGGCTGACCTTGACCATGGGCAAATGCCTCGTAGTCTGACTAAACTGCACCCAGAAAACAGGATCAACTCAGAAGACTACTCGCAGCTACCCTTATTCCGCTTCTGCTCTCGAATGCCGGGAGCACACAGTGCCAGGGCCGCCCAGCCCAGGGCGCTCTCCGGCTCAGCCTCGTGGGCCAGATGACGTCCATGGAAGGCTGAGCAGGAAGCGTGCCAACGTGCAGCTTCCGCCCATGCTCCTCAAACTTAACTGAACCTGCCACAATTCCTCAGAACACAGGTAAGATTCTTTCAGGAGAATGCTATTTTAATTTATTTTTTAAAGATTTTATTTATTTATTTATTTGATAGAGAGAGCACAAGCAGTAGGAGTGGCTGGCCGAGGGAGAAGCAGGCTCCCCGCAGAGCAGGGGGAGCCCGATGTGGGATTCGATCCCAGGACCCCGGGATCATGACCTGAGCCGAAGGCAGTCGCCCAACCAACTGAGCCACCCAGGCGCCCAGGAGGATGCTATTTTATTATTGGCACGGATTCCAACTGCTGGTGCCTGGTAAAAACCAAAGCAGACAAACTTCAATACAGATTCATTATTTCTTTAGATTTTAAAATTTTATTCATTCATTTGACAGAGAGAGACACAGCAAGAGAGGGAACACAAGCAGGGGGAGTGGGAGAGGGAGAAGCAGGCTTCCCGTGGAGCAGGGAGCCCGATGCGGGGCTTGATCCCAGGACCCTGGGATCATGACCTGAGCCAAAGGCAGACGCTTAATGACTGAGCCCCCCAGGCGCCCCTTCTTTAGATTTCTGACCGCCAAACCCACATGGGAGGTGGGAGGTTGGCGTTCCCACTGCACTGGTCCAGCGACCCAAACCACACAAATGACCACCTTCCCAAGCACGTGGCCAGGTGTCATCCTGTTCCCTGGTGGCAAAGTGGACCCAGGAACAAGTGGCTATGTCCACTTCTGCTAGGCAACCTGAGCACAGCCAAGTGGTGCCACATGACTGCACGGTCCTGGGCAGAGTGCAGGTCTCCCTCCCCGCCCTCCCCCCGCCGCCCCCCGGCCCCACGTCACACCATCCCTCACCAGGTGCTCCCTGGCAAGAAGGCAGGGGAGTGTTTGCAGAGATGAAAGAACAGGTAAATGTTACTGGAAAGCCTTCGGATGTTCTTGGAGATGGGTAATTGAAGGGCATTTTTCAGTATTTTGGATATACCAAGAGGCATAAAAAAAATACAGTGACTGTCCATCTACCCATAAGCCACCGCTAGCTCGGTCTAGAAAGACTGGTCTCCCACCCTGGGCCCCTAGCGGGACAGACAGTCCTTATAGTAGGGGAGGATCATTCCTGTACATGTTTACATCTTGAACAGTTACGCATTCTTAAAAACGCAACCGTCTTGTACGTTCTAGATGACACAGAAGTCAGTGAATCATATTCTTCCAACAACAAGCTTTCTTTGCTCTTTATCCTTGTGAGATCATCTACGGTTCTTAGTATTGTAGGTTATGAACAGACAAGTTCCTTGTTCACTCACCCGACGGTGAACGCTGAGCTCCTTCAGGGGTTTGCTAGTTCCTGTTTCTGAACATGTTTTCCTGCCTGTATGTGCATGAGGTTCCTGACCCACATGGGCCGCTGCCAGTCTCCAAAGGGCCACGGTCAAGGCCACTGGCCCCCACCCCTCAGCCCGACATCCCCGTGGTTGTGAAAGCTCTGAGAGGGCATCTGGCTGGTCTGACCTGCCGACTCCTACTGAGGACGAGCATTTTTACCCATTTTCTTCCCATTTCTATTAATTCCCATTTATGAGCTGTCACTTTCCTATAGACTAAGAATTTTTTGCATATTCTGGATACTTCTCTCTTTGCCAGTTATATCTGCTCTTGCAGGTTTCATTTTTATTGTTGTATTCCCATATAAAGAAGTTTACCATGTAAACATAGGTGAAGTTCCTACTGTTTTCTTCACCGTCTGGATCGGAGCTTAATAAGTCCGTAGTGTCCTGCGTGCGGGTGGTGCTCTCCCACAGCTCTGGCCCAGTCTTTACAACACTCAAGAGCTTGTTTACTCTGGCTGAGGGAGAGCTATAACCTGTACCCCCAACACAGACTACCAATTTAGACAAATCACTATCGTTCAGAGTCAACGTTCCTTAGCTTTGCTTGCAGGGCCGGGGCCGGTGATGGCTGCCTGCCTCCCTGAGGTCTCACACCTGCTTTCTGAGCCTGCGTCCTTGCCCAGAAGCGCACCCTCTAGATCTGTTTTTTGAGCTCCCATCAGGGTGAACTGCTCTCCATCTGAAAGCACCTTTATCGCACACACGTTCTGAATGATCCTTGTCTCTCCACACACCCCAGGCTGACAGCAGCTTTGCCCCAGCATGCTGAAACAAGCACAAGGCGCTGCGTCACGCCACCTTCTGTATGTCTGCTATGCTGAGCAGGCCACACTCAGCCTGACCGTCCGTTCTCCAAATAGTAGTGTGTCAGTTTTTCCATGGCTGCTTTTAAGATCTTCTCTTTGCTTCTGGTGCCCCGTGATTTCATTCTGACACAGATGTGGATTTCTGTGCTTCCTGAATCTGTGTGCTCAGTCTTCCGTCAGCTACAGAAAATTCCTGGCCGTGTCACACGTCCTCCTGGGCACGCCTCCACATTTCGCTGTGTGGCCCCCTCCCCCACCCCCCGCCCCGCAGGTTGCTCCTGACCTTTCTCGGGTCCCACCAGCCACTCCGCGCTGCACCCTGGGCACCCCCAATGTTCTTCAGTTCACTAACCCAAGGTCTCTGTTGCTGCTCTGGATCTCCCACCAAGTCCACAGTGATTTTCAATCACTGTGTTTTTCATTTCTAAAAGTTGATTCTTTTACAAATCTCCTAGGTCATTTTTAGGGGTCTTGTTTATGGTTTCTTCCATTAATCCGAAAATATTTTCAGCATTCGTATCTTATACTCTGCAACTTATGGTTCCAGTATCTGAATCCTCAGAGGTTAAGTTTTGTTGCTGTTTCTGACTTGTTCACAGTAGCTTTCCTACAGGTACTTGGTTCTTTTTACCTGTACGCTCATGTTTAACGGATTTTAATCTGGGGAAATCCTGAGTCCTGGGTGTAATGGGAGAGGCACACAGCCAGATTTTCAGTGGGTTTGCCAACACTGTGATTCCTGAGTGCTCTCTCCCTGGGGTGAGCACCAGGGCCCTGCAGTGTCCAAGTGCAGGTGTGTGTACCACTCTCTGCAGAAGCTCAGGGTGCACTGGTTGTGACCCCAGCCCCACTGCTCGTGTGGCACTGCCTAGGCCCCTGGTGTTGCTGCTGAGGGACTTGGGAAATGGATGACTGCATAAAGCGCAAACTGCTTTGCAGGGCTGGGAGTCTGGTGCTGCCTCTGCTCCAGGAGGCTCCCTTCGCTGCAGCATCCACGAAGCACAAAGAGGTGGCCGTTGGCATGTCAAGAGGGTAAAAGCCCGGATCCGAAGCAGTTTGCTCCTCTTGACGCCCAGAGCCCTGACTGCTCTGTAGTACTTAACTCCTCAGTTAGCTTTTCTAGATCATGGAGCCAGTCCAGACACAAACTCTGCATCCTGGGAGGAAGGGCAAGCTGAGAGTTCCACATCTCACAGAGAATTTTTATGCTTCCCCTACCCCCTAAGGTGTCAGACACATTTCCCTTGGGACTCCCCACCTGGACGTACTTTTCCATAATCCTCGAGTGTCTCACTGCACACTGTGTGGACCCAAGGTTGTAAGCACACCAGCCCTCTGCTGTGAAAACCCAGCCAGCGGCGTCCCGGGACCAGATGCCCCCAGGCCAGCTCAGCGACCCAGGTTCCCCGACCTTCTGCTGCCTGCCCCTCTTCACCCTGGCCGTCGGGCTCTCCCCCTCGTTATGTGCGCACAGTGACCCATGTGCACAGGCCCCCTGCCACGCACGTCCCACAGGGAGGCCCCACCTGACTCACCATTCCACTAGGGACGATGGGGGGACAGTCTCTTTCCAGCACCAGAAATGCACTATGCTGTCTGAGATCGAAGACACAGCCCTCAGCAGTACTGCTGTTACTGCCCTCCTCAGAGAATGTGCCCAGAATAAACTACCGAGACGCCAGAGCCTCCACTTCCTAGAGGCCACCAGGACTTCAGGTCAGCCACCCCACCTGCTGTCCAACACGACCACCAGCGAACTCGGAGGGCATTTTCCCCTCTTGTTCCCTCTAGAGGAAATGGCAAACTGGAACATGGCCATTCCACATGCTTAGTGGTAAATCATTACCCCACGTCCTTCCTTCCCGCTCATCTTGGAAACAATACAAAAAATACATATATTTTGAAAATATTTTAAAAGCATTTTAAAAACCACCAAAAGGAACCTTAGTGCCATGTGTACCGTCTGAATACAGATGGGACCTAAGCGAGGGAACAGGTGCTCAGACGCCCTCTCGTCTCCACCTTGAACCTGCTGCTCGGCAGGCAGGCGGCCTGAAGAGCGCAACCCAGCAGCCCCCAAGGCAGCTCCCACGCACCCAGGGCCGGTCCACCATGACACGTGCCCTACCTGTCCGAACCGCTCCAGCAGCACTCAAACTTGTCGAAGATGCAGTCGTTTTCATACAGAGAACAAAGCTTGCTTCGCAGGTACTCGTGGACCTTAATGAAACCACAGGAAGGTTAGAAAGCGTTGTGCACAGGTGTGGCGCCATGCCTGCACGGTGGCCTCACCTGGTGGGTCTCCACGGGCCGGCTCTCCATGTTGAGGTCCCACACCTTCACTGACAGGTAGTCTCGGGTCATCATGTACCGACCGCTGTGACTGAATTTTACGTCGGAGATGGAGGAGATTATTTCTGAGAAGAAGGACCTACTGCTGGGATCTTCAGGCTCTTCAAAAACTGAAAAACACAAAGTTTTCAGCTTCTGTTTAACGTGGGGATGCCTGGGTGGCAGAGCTGGGTTAAGTGATTTCAGCTCAGGTCCCGATCTCAGAGCTGCGGGATCGAGCCCTATGTCAGGCTCTGCGCTCGGCGCACAGTCCGCTTGGGATGCTCTGTCTTCTTTTGCCCCTCCCCCACTCACTCTCTCTAAAAAAACAAAACGAAACAAAAAACCACGAAAACAAAACAAAGCAAAAAGCCTTCACAAAACAACAAACCGAGAGAACAAACCATGTTCAAGTCCCTGGGCCCTCCCTGGGGGCTGCAGACTGCACACCACTCACGCTTCTGATTTTTCTGATCTCAGTATGTTTTCTGGCCTTCAACTTCCGAGCTTAAGAGACTTAGATGAAACGTCCCAGTGCCAGTTACTGCCAAGGGACAACATCAGAACACAGCCCCCCCCCCCCCCCCCCCCCCCCCCCCCGCAATCTCACTAAGACTCTGGAGCACCACATCTGTGCCTGAGGCCCCGGGCTGGGGCCTGGAAAAGCCCCTCAGGACACTCCCATGTGCCTTTTGGTCAAGAACCCCTGTGCTGACCACAGGTTGCTACCACACAAACACCTGCGAGTCTGAGCAGCCCAGGCCCTGGCGAGCCACGTGCAGACCTGTCCCGTCCATATCACGGGAAGATGATACGGCGTCACCTGGAAACACCAGATCCAGACTGTAACCTCTAGAATGGTCCCATATACCAAAGCCTGTCAGGAAAAGGGGTCTGTCTCTGCTGTTCAGGAGTGAAGCTCCACATAACAAAACCAAATTACTACTTTTCGAAAGATTCCAGATGCTTCTTTAGCAGACCTTCCTTTCTCCTACAGGTTTTGCTTTCTAAGAAGCTCAATAGCCCTCCACCTGCGAAGCAGTAGAGACCTCAGAGGCTCCACCAGACCCCTGATCGCATCATCATGCCCTCAGCTCAGGAAACTTCGAGTGAGTACTTCATTTTAAGCTGCTTTAGCCTTTTTTTTTTTTCTTTTAATGTAGAAACCTATGTTTCTTGGTTCTGCATTTGAAGTTAATTTTAAGCAAGCCAGTGGCAATACCAAGCATTTACTCAAAAGTATTTTGCTGACAAAAACTACTTTTGGTATCTAAAATGGTTTACTCAAGAATATTATCTTGAGGGGCGGCTAGCTGGCTCAGTTGGTGGAGCGTGCGACTCGATCTTGGGGTTTTGAGTTCAAGCCCCACGGTGGGTGTAGATTACTAAAAACAACAGCAACAACAAAAGAATATTCTCTTGAAAGACACAGGCCAACGTTATACGAGGCTCATTCTTCCTTGTGGGAGTCCTATAGGAGGAATTCTCTAAAACATAGCTGCAGAAAAATGAGAACAAGGCAAAAAGGTTACTGAGAACCGGTTAGCGCAAACCCTCTAATGCCAGGCACTGCGGGTGCTGCTACACGTCCTACGGGAGACACTCCAGACACAACGATCCATGAATGGATTTCACCAGAGGAGAAAAGTGTCACAGGAAATGAAAATCGAAGGTACTTCCTCGGACAGGCTGGCTTGACCTGTCAACGGACTGTGAGGACCCTTGAGCAGAGTTACCAGTACACAGTCCAGTCCCCACCATGGGACCTAATGCACGACACACACACTTCCAGTTTCCTCTAAGGTCAGGCCTATTCTTTATGGCTAAACATAAAAACAAAACTTTCCTCACCTAGAAGAAACCAAGGCTCAGAGGATTAAAGCGCTAGAGCTTGGCCTGAGGGAACTGCCTCCAAGTCCAGCAAAGCACTGCGAACAGAGCCCATCCTGACAGCTGAGAACCGTCATGGGTGAGATGCGTTCTGGCAGCCTCAGCCGAGGTCCTAATGCACAGAGGTAGAGGCAACAGATGGTTCTCGGCTGGACCCAGCCAGGGAGTCCTCTGATGATGCCCTGGGATTCTGGGTGTGGGAGGAACCCTACGGGCTGCCCCACCATGGCCTCACGGCCCACGTGGTGCCAGCAATGGCCCACCAAAGAGCCACCCAGGGACTTAGGATCAAAAGCCAGTCCTACACTTGCACAGGTCTAGGGAGACCAGAAGAAACGCTAAGTCTCTGGAGAGGGTCTCAAGCCTGGAAACCAGGATCAACAGGAGCCATCCCAGCCCTTCCAGGCACTTACACTTGGAGTGTCTGTCACACAGGGCTGAAGAGCGCATGTCACACAGTCGGACGGTCCCTTTGCTGCTGCTGTACACAAACACGTTGCACTGGTGCGGGTGGAACTCGGCCGCGGTGATCACCTCCGTCAGCTCCTCCATGTTCACAGGCTTGATGTCCACGATGTCTGGAGGCGCACAGTTAAGGCAGAGCGCTTGGCGGGCTTTAGTCCACATTCAAGCCAACGTCAGGTGTGCGACACCCCGCAGCGAGGGGTGCGAGCAGACATGCACAGCAGGTGCTCCTGGTAAGAGAAGCCGCGTCCCCGCACTGCTCACACCACCACCGCACGCCTCACCAGGCCTGGGCCCATGCACACGCACACACTGCCTGCACCCTGCCGCGACCACGAACGTTCCACGGGAGGACGTCCCCAGCAAGATCAGACAAGCTCAATGATGTAAAGAAGAGGAAGCAAGCGGCCACCTGTGCAAAAACCCCATACCTATATCCATAAATTACACAAGAGAATTGCCAGATTCCAAGATTCTGCTTTTTCGAGAATCTTTTCTTGATCTGCCATCAAAAGCTTGTTCTAAGCAGTTAGAACAATGTTAACATTATAGCTTGCCAGACAGAGAAACCACGCAACTGAAGAAAACAAAGAAAGAGTAGAATCCGACTTTGGGTCGGGATGGAACAACAGGGTCCAGATGAACCGTTCCACTGAAACAAGCAAGAAACCTGACACCACAGCTCATCGCTGGAGACGAGACAGCAAGGCCGTGGCCCTCAAGGGGCTGGAGGCACCTCGACAGACGGAGCAGCGCCCCCGCTCACACTCATACACGGCACAGTCTGCGAAGTTAACCAGGAAGCAAGAAGCCCAAGGTGCGCGGAGGGGACGGCTGGCTGTGTGCAGACGGGCACAGCCGAACGAGGGCAGGGGGCTGAGGCTCTGCAAGAAGCACGACCCGCTGCCAGAGCGCTCATGGCAGTGCACCAAAGGTACTTCTAAGGTAACGGTATCAGGAAATACAAGCACGTATATGAAAGCGTTGTGTTTCACAACCTAGGTCACAAGGAAAGGCATCTAAAACATGATTGCGGGACAAAATTTTGTAAAGGCAACGAAAAGCATGACTGCATACACAAATCATTTATGAATTACAGTTCTCACAAATCATGAAGAAAAAAGATGAGATTCCAACAGGAGAAAAATCAAAAAGGACAGTAAAAAAAACTCACACTAATGGACAGTAAATTAACAAAAGATACTTAAACTCACCTATAATCAGAAAAATTAAAAATGGCCTTATTTTGGTTTTACTGATGTGAAAAATTATTTTAAAGAGGGTCCAGGGTTCTGCTAAAAACAAATACTCCGAGGCAGTGGGAGCCCCCACGTCTCAAAGCCTGCACGGAGGCTGGCGTCATGCGGATTGAGGCTCACAGGTGCGCACAAGGGGCGGCAGCAGAGCGGCTCGGGGCACCGCGTCCACGGCTCTGCGTGTGTACAACCTGTCCTGCAGCTGCAAGCGGGAAAGATGGTTCTAATGCATCAAGAAACGACAAGGCTAGCAGCAGGGGCTTTCTGACGTGCCCCAGGCCCTGTGCTACCAGCTCTGCAGCCACGGGCTCTTGGGTTCCACAGAACCGCAGGCGGCACCCCAGGAGTGCGGGTTTACGGAGGAAGAGAAAGACCTGGGCTGACACAGGGCCGTCATGTAATTAAGGTCTTCGAGCAGAACTCGGGCCCCCGACACCCCCGAGTGCTTGGAACTTCATTACCACTGTGCAGAGGATGAGCCCCACTGTTCCTAAACATAAACGCCCTAATACAGACATAAAAACTGCCTACAACGGCTATCTGTGGAGGGTGGGATGGCAGGGAGAACCTCCTATGAATTATCTGCATTTTGTTCAAAATGGTCACATACTAATAGAAGAAAGAAGGATTTCAGATACGAGTTTAAGGAGAATAAAGAGAAAGCAGGGAGCATGAGCACGAGCCCCGGAAGATGGGAGGTTGCTGCCAAGCTGCACGAGGAGGAGACGCAGCAGGCGGCCGTCCGCACGCGCTGTGCCTCGGCGCCCAGGAGCACCTCACCGCCGGCAGCTGCGGGCGCCGCACGGATGGCGGAACCGCCGTGCCCTCTTTCCATCAGCTAAGTCATCACGTTAAGTAAATAACCACAGCAAGTACGAGGACATCAAATAATAAAAATCCAGTGTGAAATGCTAGAATTTAAAACACCACACACACTTCATTTCATGGATTTTCTTGAGTACAAGGGAGCGCGCACACATGCCTAGTCCCGTCTCGGCTGCAGCCCAGGCGACCCGAGGGCATCTGTCCCACTCTGGCCGGCCCGACATCGCTCCCAAACGTGGGAAATCCTGACTGATGGCCCTCGATGTGCACATAAGACAGGGCTCTCATTTCTGGAGAAATCAACAACTTTTAACATGAGTGAATAACCAGTCGCATGTAGATTTTCACCATAACGGTAACCGCACAGCTGCAGCCTTAAGAGAGATGAATGTTTGAATATTCCTTAACAGCTTGTCTTCTGTAACAGAATTCTCACATGATCAGTCACTCCTCGGGCTGTGTAACTAACCACCACTCTAACCAAAGTCAGTGTCTTCTATTCTAGTATCTACTAGCCAGTTTGTGTTGGGGGCAAGGGACCAGGCAACACTGAACCTCTAGATACACACTATTTAAAATTGTCTCTCATGAACCTGGGAGGGCAATGGACTTGAGGTCATTTTCATTTTGTAGAGAACTCTCCCCAAAGGTAGAAAGCAGTTTCCATTCTTAGGGACACGTTAAATCAGAGAACTTACACCACAGCTACCATGCAGCAAGCTGATATGCAGAAACACACATGCACTGAGAACTTCCCTGAAGAACAAACCTATGAAAGATGCCAAGACAGCCATCTGATGAAGGATACTAAAACTTCTATCTGTGATTTCTAAATGCCATAGATTAATTCTCAGGTCATCTGCAGAAAGATATGTTTCATGATCACTATTTACTGAAATGGAATTTATATGATATGTGTGAGCATTTGCAAAAATTCGTCGTGGACTTGCTTCTACCATAAGATCCATGGGCTTCAATTTTGGAACCTAAAAATGGAAGGAAATAGGAATTCAAAACAAAGATCACCAGAACATAAAATTACAACACTTACAGTAGAAAACAAAAAAGAACACATCTATATTCCCAGCGAGCTAAGAGTTTTGTACAGGCACTACCCCAAATAACCAGTGAGCAGAGCTGTGGAAACAGGCTGCGGACGAGGCCCTGTCCCTCCTTGCGGCAGAGCTGTTCTTGCCGAGGGGCAGGCTACACTGGCACGGAAACAAACCGCCTCCAGGGTACGGGTGCCTCTAATGGTGGGGTTTCACTTTCCTGTCTGTCCTGAAGCCACGGTGAGCATGGGACACAGTCAAGGACCACCCCCTGCCCCTCCTTGCAGCTGCTGCCTTGCAGAGTGACAGTCTGAGCCTCTTCAGTGCCCTGGTCTGCTGCTCAGTGCACATGCCAAGCGCCGCCACGGAGGGGTGCAAGGGCAGGAGAGCGCATGGGAGGGCTCCCAGAGAGCTGATGAGGTGCCACGCTCCATCTGCTGCTGGCCACGTGGGCTCGTGGGCCTGCGAGAGCTCATGCAGCGGTTCACTTCTCTGGCAGAGACAGCTTCTGGTATGTACAATACGCTTCAGTGAGAGTTTTTTTTTAAAAGGGACACAAAAACCCATCTCTGTGCTGGGCACTGCAGTCAGGGAACAGGACCTCTACACCACCGTGCAGACAGTGGAGTCAGCCCGGCAACAGGTGAGAGCAAGGGCCCGGCCTGAGCACACCTATACAACCACGAGGAGGCAGGGGCGCCATCGTGGGTGATCGCGTCCACACGTGAGAAAGGAGAACAACAGTCCCAACATCACTGACATCTAGTGGGAAAGAAGGCAGGAGCTTAAAAGCAAGATGAAAAATTAACAGTAGTAACTCTATTACTTTTCCAATTAAGAGCCAAAGGGAACACCTGGAAAGGCTAGGAGGCGAGCTCTCCTACTGACTTCTCTGCCCAAAAGTCTGCAAGAAATGAGCTTGGGGGAACACGCATAAATACTCCCTTCGTTTTCAACCAGCTAGGGGCTGACCCCGTGCTGGCGTTCTCTGGAGCGGTGGTGTCTGTCCTGCAGGGCGCAGGGTAGGCCACCACAGCCCTCCAACGAGTCTCTAAGTGATCAAAACACAGGACAACTCTCAGGCTAGGACAGAAAGGCTCCTCCTGACTAAATCCCTTTTCTGGCAATAAATGTAAGAGGAAAACAATTTAAAAAGAGCAGTATTTGACTCCTACTCAGGTAAGTTTAGACAAATAGTCCTTTTTTAGCTTTGAGAGAGATAATTAAGAAATCAAATATGGGCCTAAAGTGACAAAGGTCAGTCATTTTATGGCCTGTGACTCTGAAATCACAGTGTGTTCCTAACAGTCGTTTCTTATGAAACAACACCTCGGCCCAGTTAGACCAAGTGTATCTAGGTGACTGTATCAAAGAGCCTCTGAATAAAAGGGACACTGAGCCCACCGAGACCTGTGGCTTTTCCAGCAGGCACGTGAGCGTCTGGTGTGGCGAAGAACGCTGACAACGGGGGCAGTGTGCTCGGCAGGAGGCCGTAAAAGCGGCGGGGGACAGACAGAGACCAGGGCACCCAAAGCCTCCTCCATTCGGCCACACTCGGAGTTTCACATGCAGCTGGAGTGCAAGAGCTACTGTCACTCCCTGTGGTTTATCACTGCCACATGGATGCGGAAGGGCCTGGTGGCAGAGAAACCACCGGTGTTCAGATCAAAACATCCTGGTTCGAATCAGCGTTTTAGAAACTCGCCCTGAGTCAATCACACTGCTTCTCCGTGTCAACCCCCTGGCCATACGGTGACACTTTGGATGCGAAAGTCTATGAAGACACGGACCCACCTGTGCTTCTCCTCGGCAACGCTGCTGTCCCCCGCGCCCTGGGGAGCACTGCCCCTACACCTGGGCTGTGGCGGTCCTGTGCGCCCGCCATCCCAGCACCCCGCATGCACCCAGCACGCAGAGCTTAGGGAACGGAACCGAGACAGACCCCGGGTGCTCTGCGCCTAGCGTCACTATGGCCTCTGCAATGGGGTGTCCTTCCCCGGAGCACCTTACTACTAACCCGCAACATGTTCACCAATGAGGTCTTCACTTGATAAATAATATTCACCAAAGCTTTTAAACCCCGTTAAAAAACAAACCAGCCAACCAACAATTCTCACAGGCACGGGGCAATGGTTTAGGTAACACCTCAGGACTAAGGCCAGTGCTGGTCTTCCTGCTCATGCCTCATGCATGCAGAGTGTCCTGGCGCCCCACCTCCCTTCCCGTATCTCATCTCGTCTCACACCCCCTCCAGGGTGGGCACCACTGAGCAGTGACCTGACTCGATTTCACAGACGTTACAATGTGAACCAAACCTAGGTATCAGAACTGATGAAGATGGTCATGTCACAGGGTGCCCAGGGATACCAAAAAGGGAGTGAAGAATTAAGACTTAACAATTAGAAAAGGAAGTGATGATACCACGGACTGACAGGCAAGAATTCTGAAAGCTTAGAGTGTGCCTCAGCTAACTGAAGAAATGCCACGAAAGCCCCGGCAGTGCGAGGCTCACCTTGCATCTGCAGTCCATGCGGCTTCATCCCGGGCACCATTCTGAGTCCCACAGGGACCTCACCACCACCAACGTGCTACTTACAACCTTTGTAGTGAAAGGCAGTTGATACGCTGAGAAAGACCTGTTGTAGGATTAGACCTGAGTCTTTAGTATCATTAGATTTTCTAAAGTTACTGTGTGACTTCCTGCTTATGTGAAATATGAGGAATCCCAATTCTAACACACATATAAGCTGATGACTACAATTACAAACAGGTTCCACGAATCGAAAAGGCAGATGTCACAGCAGTCCTACTCAGCGGTCTTCTCTAAACAGCTGACTTACGCACCGTTCCCGATTAACTAGGAAGAGAACTGGGTAGTTTAAGGAAAGGTAGCGTGTACCCGCAGTGCTGTAATTCGAAATGGGTCTCGAAGCCGTCCATCTTCATCTTTCAAGTTATAACCTTCTGCTCTTTTGTCCCGTTCGCTTATTTTCCATAATTTAATAGTTTTATCTGAAAATAAAAACCTTAGTGTCCATATTAAAAGAAAAACCGTATCATGCACCACTATTAGTCGAGTATTGTTAGAAAACTGTGTGGTTCTATGTTGATTGGTAAGCTATGAGACTCTGAAGGTTACTTTCCAGTTACGGATAAACCTGGACATTCTCTTTGCATGGTAAGTAAAGGTGTGGAAGTCTGCGCTGTAGGGCAGTACCACACGGGGAGTATGTGTGCATGCTCACTTTTGTATACTTTAAGTTTTCAGCCTACCACCTGCTACCTAGCTAATAATTTACCTTCTCCCCAAAGTTTAAAGCAGAAACTACTTCTAGAATGGGTTAAAGAAAAAGTAAAGTAAAAACGTGCTACACCCAGCAAATTAAAAAAGAAAAAAGCTCTTACCATTTGTAGAGAGTAGAAAATGCGCAGCATTCTGTTGTGGTAACCACCTAATTTTATTAATTTTTTCCTCAATTTCTAGACTTTTCAAATAGTCAAACTCTGGTTCATGACTTTGAAAGGTACTGTAAACATTATATTCTCCCCTAGAGTGAGGGCGACTTTTGTTCTGCAAGGAAACATGAGCTGGGTTAATGAACAACGCACAGTGCAAAGGAAAATGCAGTGTACTACCAATCTGAATACAAAACGACCACACACATTTTAAAAGTAAAAGAAATCCTGGGTCAAGAATTATCAAACAGAGGACACTCCGAATTAATTTACTTGGAAAAAACCAGTAACAGATGATTTCGCAGACCTTCTCTCCTGCTCCTGGGCGCGCACTCCCAGGCAGGTTCTGCGGGACCAGACTGCTGCCTGCACAGGACGAGGCTCCATCACGTATGTGTGTTTTCCGGAGGGGCCCGTGGGCCCACGGAGGGGGCAGCACCGTGCAGCGTGGCGCTGAGCGGTCTGCGCCGAGCCCTGAAACAGCCCGCCAAGACAACACTCGCACCCCCGCCCCTGGAGGAGGAGGAGGACTGAACGGCACTTAGGCAGTGACCAGCACCAGCAGAGGACCCGTGATGGAATTTTTAACACACGTAAAACAATTCTATATGTTAAAGTAAAAGTAGAAAAACACGCTTGGGAAGATGCATGATGTCTTCAAAATAATAACCAACTCTGGGAAGGCAGGCAGCATGAGAAGGTAGATTTGGGAACAAAGCTGGAAGACAAAATAGGGAGAGCACAACGGGCGCCTCATCTACCTGCCGAGGGCTTGCTTTTCTTTTAGGAAAGAGGAAAACCTAGGTGGTGGGTTCGTAAATGTATTTATATTAGTCTCCGAAATCTTCTGTATCCAAAATGACATTTTCTATGAAACAGTAAAAATGTTACATAACTAAAAACCAACGACACCAAGATTTTGTTTAATTCTTGCTATATAATCAGCATCTAAAATCTTACATTTTTATACTTTAGGCTATGTGTCAAGGAAACTGAAAGAAACAGAAGAACATTTACGTCTAGATTTCTTTGTATTTCTGAATTAAGATTACCTATTATGAGAAAACTTCCCCCCAGCTCCCTGAAACTCTCTACCACATGGCTTTTTATGTGGCCACACACTCCTGGAAACCATGGATGGACCCCAGGATGTAGGACATGGTTTCCACGCCTGACTGTGTTAGGTGCATTAACTCTTTCTTCAGGCCCGCACCCCTCTCTACGAGAAAGCAGAATACACCAGCAGATGGTCTACCTTGCTAATGAGAAAGAAACTGAAATCTTTAAAAAAGAACAACCTGTGGCATCAATGAGTGTTTCTGTGAGAACACTATGAGAAAACAGAATATTAACAACTATATGTGGCACCCACCCCACGTGCCACCTGCCCTTCCCGGCCACGCTCCCCAAGAACCGCAACAGACGCTCCCCATGCTACAGGCCCGTCTTCCTGTTGTGAACTGCACCAACCCCCACTCCCAACACCTAAAACCTCCATCCAACAGGCTGAGGCCCCGCGTCAGCCTCTGAGGACCCCCAGGCAGTGAGTGGTGGTCTCCACGCTCTGTCCAGGGAGAGGTAAGAACAGATAAGGCGAGAGGAAGGGCCTCGAGGAAGACTTGCTTGCCCATGGCAGCTCGGTCCCGAGGAGAGAGCAGAGCCAGGGCCACCGAGGCTGCCAGCCTGAGGCACTGGAAACAGGACGGGCAAGGACAGGGAGATGGTGGAAAAAGTGCATTCTGGTTTCAGACACACTGAGTGGTGTCGGAACTACTCAAATTGAGTAATGTGCACGATGAGCTGCAGAGCGGAACCAGGTCCCAAACTCTGCTCACCTCAGAATGACAATGTTGGGCTTCCCGAAACAGAGGGCTCTGCCACTAAGACGAAAAAAAGCGCGAACGTCACGCTGCTGTGGTCCCTGCCTTGCGTCATGTGCACACCCCAAACTTTCCGACGGCCCCCGCTCGCCCCAGTCCCCTGGCCTGACACCCGCGCCACCTTCCGCAGTCCGGCACGGCCCTGCGCTGTCCTCACACCTTGTGCTTCCCACAGGCCTGCGCCCTGGGGCTCCGCGGGGGGGGCAGTGCTTGCTGAACTGAGAGCACTGGAAAAACCCGAGTCCATGGTGAGGCTTATATATGGCAACCACCAAAATACTTTAAAAGCAGATGGAATATGAAGGCTCTTTTTATGTTAACGAAAACATGAAGAAAAAGATGCGGTAAAAAGTTGCCCGGGGTTTATTAAGTTGCAGATGGCCGGGTTTATCAAATTTAAACAATGTCAACAACCCGCCGCTGTATGAATCTGCGCCTTCACATTATTAACCATGATTTAATACATCTTAACTAAACCCTTCATGCTACAGGTTCTCAAAATTGTGACGCCCAACGTATTTTGTAACAAGATGCTCAAGTTTTACTATAATCTATCTCACATTTGAAGCTAGTATTTTTTAGGTTTAAATGAGTCACAAAAATGAGAAAAATTCCATTTTCTATAAGAATATCATTAAAATGGCAAACTTTAAGGAGCTAAAAGTGAACTCTTAAATTTAAGACAGCTATGACTCAGCAATCTGCTAAATAATCCGTCTACTAAAAGTAATAAACATAGTTCTTTTTAAGCAGCACCATGTAATAATCTACCTCTGGGACAGAATGCAAAATTATAAACTTATCAAATCATCTGTGAAGATCTAGAGACACTAATGACAATATACGTAATATCCACAAAAGAATTCTCACCATCTCAAATCAGAAAAAATAGGATTAAAAAAGTTTTTAAATCTACGTGGACATAATCAAAATTAGAGCGGCAACAGGTATATTTGAACGATGAGATGTTGGCGTTCCCTAAATCTCTTCCTACTGACCAAAGCAATCCTTCACTTTGACTGGGGGGCCCCAGGGCCCACCCTCCACACATGCCCCCGAGCGCCCCTCTCTGGCACGGCAGGGCTGATGTTCGCTGCCACGTAGATCTACTGGAAGGGAACAAGGGCCCACTAGATGCCATACCAAAGTTTTACCACAAAAATAGAGAGACTAGAGAGACTAGAATCCGGAGATGGGAAAGTAACTGCCCACGGACCTGTGTGGACACAGACGAGGGGCCCTGTGTGTGAAGCTGCCCAGGCTGGGCTGCGCCGTGGTTCTTGCCCAGAATACGTGCACAACAGACCAGCCGAGCAACAGGCTGTCTGGCTTCCTTCCTCAGCACTTGTCATGAACTCTAATGAGGCTCCCCAAAAATAAGGGGGAGCTGGCAAGGCCTGGTTCTACCTCCCATTCTCCTCTTATGCATAACTGAAAAAGACAGGTTTCTCTGCCCTTTTCCCTCAAAAGAGGGAGTGCCCTACAAAACGGCTCATGAGTGCGAGTCATCTGTGGGGCCCGTGCTGAGGACTCCTTCCTCTCAGCACTGACAGTGGGGCCCTCAGGGGGCATGGAAGAAGCAGGCTGCTCACCTCTGACTGAGGAGGGAGAGAGAATTCATGGCCCCCCAGTACACACGGACTCTTCCCCAGGGGCCATTCAGAGCACACTGCAGTGCTGGACAACAGGGCTGGGGGCCAGCACCCCCGGGGCTGTTGAAGTGATTCTCACCCACAGCCACTTTAATTAATTACAGGATGAAAGCAGAGAGATGCCGCACCCCACCACCCCACATCCTTCAACTGGCCCTCACGGCCGCCTGTGGGTGGGGCAAGGACTCTCCTCTCCCGAAGAAGGGCACAGGGGACTCCATCGGAGCTCAGTGGTTGGACGTCAGTGGGCAGAAACACAGATCTTCTTGCTCACCCAAGACAAGTAGCTTCTATACGGTTAATGTGATGTAACCGAATCTAAGTGACGTCAGAGGCTGAGAAAGTGCCTGTGTTTCCCTCCTTCCAAGTGACATGAGAAAAGCTGGCTTTCATTTGGCTTGTGCACTGACCTCTTGTTCCCGCTGAAAAATAACAACTCTGCCGCCCTTGTCTCCCGTTGCAAGAAGATCTCCAGAGTAATTAAATTCAACAGTTGAGATGATGTCAGCTGTCAATAAAATACAGAAGCAATTTACCAGATTATGATTTTGAAAGGAGTCATAATATCAAAGGTCAATAAAAAAGGTTCAAAAGACAGACAGACACATATAAAACTTTCTCCCTGGATAAAGCAAAATCTTCATGGGAAACTTGTCTTTACCAAGCAGCCAATTCCAGTTCTGGCACCCAGAGCCCAAGAGCACATATGGGCTTACAGGTTTTGCTCAGTGGACTGAATGCTTGGTCCCCAGGGCACCAGGATTTATTTAGACTGCATTGTCTTGATATAAAGATATCGAGTGAAAATTTAGAAAATTAATTTTGAAAAGACAAAAAAACAAAAAAATTGGTCCTAGAAGACTTTTATTTATGATGCATGCCTAATATTAACTTATAAATCTGATTCTTACATGACATTAACAGATGTTTTAATATTCTTTGCAATAACTTTTGCTGGCTTCTGTACAAAATAATATTATACACAGTACAAACTCAATTTCATTGACTAGATACAGCCATTACCATCGATAATGACATCATCACTACCTAGTGAGACACTGCTGTCGGACATCTGAGATTTCTGACACTAAGCACACAAAGATCTTGGCCATCAGCTCACTACGGGTGAAGACCATAGGGTATAAGCAACAAAGCCAACTGCGGGAAAAGTCCTTAGGTGTTCTCAGGCTAAGGTCTCGAGGGAACAGATCGGAATTCATAAAATGGGACTCCTGGATCAAGAAAAAGTTTTAGAAAAGACAGTTTTCTCCTGCTCGGGGGCACAGAGTGCGGGTGGAACCAGCACAAGGACGTGGGTTTAGTCCCGCATGGGCTGCTGTCAGCCCGCTCCATCCAGTCCAGGGACTCTTCACCTTCGTCAGCTGCCCAGACAATCTCATCTCTGGCTGCTGGGAGGAGAGGACACAGGTTCAGCACAAACGCACCAGCTGCTGGAGCACCAACACAAAGGGCCTGTCCGACTGGCGGACGCAGGTGCGTGCTCTGCACACACAGGGCCCCACGGAAGCAGCAGGAGTATTTAGACCAGTACTGCTACACAGCTCCTGGAACAGCTTGTCCAATACTCGGAAACAGACCCCAACACTGAAAGTACTTGAAAAACTCCCCTCGCCACTCCCGAAACTGCCATAATGTAATACAACTCTTAAAGGTGTGCACATTTTAGTCAAATAGTTGTTAACACAGGACTTCCTGCGATACAAGCTCTCACCTGCACTGTGCACGACTTTTTAATTTTTTAAAGCTTTTGTTTGAGAGAGAGAGAGTGAGAGACAGCAGGAGAAGGGGGAGGGGCAGAGGGAGAAGCAGACTCCCCGCCCAGCAGGGAGCCCAAGGATCATGACCTGAACCCAAGGCAGCCGCGTAACCGACTGAGCCACCCAGGCGTCCCCTGTGTACGACTTAAACACACACTGAATTGTTTTGCCTGGGATGTCTTTCCTTTGGTTTCCTTTTTTTTTTTTAAGAAACAAAAACAAAAACACCCCTTCAGTTACAGCTGTAAAAAGGATTAGGCTTCTTGTTAGAAGTGCCACTTTTTAAATTAAATTACTCAAAATAAACCAATTTGTTTAAATGAAATATTCTGTATTGGACTAAATGGGACTACGTCTCTGTCATCCATACCCAGGGGGTGTACGGTATTATATAATTAATGGCATTCTAGCTCTGTCAGTGATTTTTAAACTTAATTAAAAAGGGCCGAATCTTTTAAAAGAGAAACTCCCATGACTACCACTGGTGAGAAATTATTGTCATTAAGTTGCGCAAATATGTATGAATCTAAAATTAGAAAATGTTGTCTGCAGAGCTGAGAAGAGCTCTAAAGTCAAAATAAATATACAAACTAAATACCAACGAAATTTAAATTACCAACATGAGTTTAATGTGATGGCCATTACTTTACAAAACTGGTATCATGCTAGAGCGAAAATATGGTACTGACTGAGGGCACCCAGTGGGGCCTTTACACCTGCCACGGACCGCACAAGGGCTCAGGCACACCGCCCCGGCTGTGTGAGCAACCAGAGGTCCCTGCGCAGGGCCCACGTCAGCACCTGCTGGCCATGGGCGGCGACACTGTATTTGTGCAGTGGCCGCAAGGCTCCCGTGCGCTACTGCACTGTCTGCGCCGAGGCACTCTGCTGGGAGGGGTCCTTGGGCTGATGCAGAACTTACTTAGTAAATGTCTAAGTCAGATTCTGAAACCATGACACACACCTGGTAACCCCTAAGAACCCAGCTCAGACTTTCTGTCAAGTGTGGTCCACTGTGGGCACGGGCCTTTCCCTCCCACCACCACGAAGGTGCCGAAGAGAGCTGAAAGGTGTCCGTCCACAAAGCAACAATGGTGGGCAGGCTTTGCCGCGCAGGTGACGGCAAGGGGCGGAGGCATGGTAGGTGACAGTCTAAGCAGGGGTGATGTCTCAACCTGCCGAGGGCTTCGGCCAGGCTACACACCAGGTGCTGGGCATGGAGATGGCAGAAGGTCAGTTTCCCAAACTGCTGGGTCCCCAAGCTTATCCCCATCCTGCCAGGTGGGAACACACAGTTACTTCCCCTTCCTGTTTCCCAAACGCCAGCTGCCACGAGTGAAGGATTCCCACCATCTCCAGGGCTCCTCTCCGAAATGATAAATCTCCGGAGAAAAGGCCTCAAGATTCAAACACTTGGGGTCCTTAAAGAAATGACCAACCGGGATGCCTGGGTGGCTCAGTCATTAAGCATCTGCCTTCGGCTCAGGTCATGATCCCAGGGCCCTGGGATCGAGTCTCACATCAGGCTCCTTGCTGAGCAAGGAGCCTACTTCTCCCTCTGCCTGCCTCTCTCTCTCTCTCTCTCTCTCTCTCTCTGATAAATAAATAAAATCTTAGAAAAAAAAATATATATAAAAAAAAGAAATGACCAACCACAGGGAAGCCCTCCAGCTGGAAAGCCCACCTGCTCACGGAACTGCCTGCTGGCTCCAAAGTGGCTGCATCTTAGACATGAACCAATCACTCAGGGTCTGCAGACAGGTGAGAGAAAACACCAAAACAAGGAAGTTGGAGGAAAGAGGGACAGTGCATCAACAAAATGTCAAAGAAACAACAATTAATGTCCTCAGGGAGCTAATGCCTGCCAACAGGAATGACCTCAGCAATGTTGGCTGGGCGCCTGCCAGGGCCCTGGTGCTGTTCTAACGGAGCACGGCCCCGTGTGAAGCTAGCAAACCTCCAGCAGCCTAGGAAGCAGGGCTCCTGTCATCCCTGTCTGAGGGAGAAGCAGGCCCTGGGCACGGTATCCAGCTCACCCAGGTGGCAGCCTCCGCCTGTCGTCATGGCACAGGCTGCCAGCCACTTCATCCAGCGGCTTCCTGGAGGATGGGCTGCATGCTACTACAGAGAAAGGAAAAACAAGGATGTGCGCTTCGAAATTCAAAGGGCAGTAATTTCCAAACTCAACACGTCCTCCCAAGGGCAGAACAAAAGACAGAGAGATGGATAAGAGAGGAAAGATGACCAGAGGGTCGGGATGGAAGCTCCGCAAAGACAAGAGAAAGGAAGTGACGCAGACGTCCGAGGACGAAGATGAGTGTGTCCCAGGGCAGGGGCCTGACCCTGGAGCAGACCCTCTCCTACGGCGCCTCACTAAGAAAACTCCAACACCGAGGATAAAGGGGGGTTCTAAAACTTCCCAGAGAAAACAAACAGGTCATAACCAAAGGAATCAGATGGCAACAGACAGGACGCTGGAAAACGGTGGCTGGGATACCTACCAACCTCAAAATTCCGAGAACAAATAATTTTCAACCCCTAATTCTACACCTAGCCAAATTTTCAATCGCGTTTAAAAGGGACAATAAAGATATTTTCAAACATGCAAAAAAAAAAAAAGAAAAAAAAAAAGGCACAAACCACACAACTAAAACCCCGTTCTCAGCAAACCACTGTAAGGTGCAATTTGGCAAAATGAGAATAAACCAAGGCAAAGGAAGATGGGGGACCTGACATGCCAACGCTGGTGAAGACAGGACAGGGGCCAATGGCTCTGGAACGGCAGTCGTGGCTGGGGGACGTCGTCGGGGGACAGGGCGGCCGGAGGGACGGCGCCCACTGTGTCTGGGGCCCGCAGGGCGAGGCGCGCAGCACGGCTGCCGCAGTGTCTCTTCACACGCACCAGACAGAACCAAGCGTGTGGAGCCACTAGGCAATCGTTAGCTCTGGGGAAAATGAAATTTGTATGAAAAAGAAAATGTATACTTCAGTTCAGTAACGAACCGTCAGCACAGTGCAGAGGGAACTGAGACTCCTGACAGAATCCTCTCAACTTTCTTTCCTGTTCTTTTTTTTTTTTTTTTTTCCGGGGGGGGGGGGGATGTGGGGGGGAGGGGGTGTTAGCAAAAAAAGCTAAATCATCAGTTACCATAACGGGAAGTCAGTACTTACTGTTCAAAATAAAACCAGGAAATCGGAAGTTAGCAGCATAAGACATTACTCAGGGGCTGCTGAGGATGCTTCATGGCTGGCAGGGGGCAGGTGATAAGAGGCGCTGGATCTAAGAGGGCGTACTGCATGCAACATAAGGAAGCAGGAACAAGACATGGGGGGGGAGGGGGCCCGGAGGGAAAACGTCGTCAACAAGGCATTAAAAGATGGAGAACATAAAGTCACGTTCACATGCCCACGGCACAGCATAGCTGAAGCGGGCTGATGACACAGGAGAGCTGGGTTAGCGGCCAGGTGGGTGCAGGGGCACCTGCACTGGGGGGTGTGTGTTGGGGGGTGGCCAGGGAGTGCACCGCACAGGAGAGCCATGAGTGGACCTGGGCTTGACAAGTGGTCTCATCAGACGGCAGCTCTTCTTTCTAGGGGGCAGGAGAGAAGATTCATCTGCTCAGAGCACAGGTGATGTTGGGGGTGAGTGAAGGAAGTGTTCTTGGAACAGGAGGGAACCACACCAGAGAAATGCAGGGTTGTGTCACGGTATCACTGCCCATGTGAGATTTGAGGGCAGCAGCTTATTTTTTTAAAATTCAGCAAACACACTGAGTGATTACTGTAGGCCGGGCAGTGCCCTGGGTGCTGGGGACCCAGAGCTCCCGGGGACCGACATCTCTGTGAACGGAGTAACTTTAAACGACCCCTTCAGCGGAGCTTCTGGAGTTGCTCGGCAGGCAGCTGGGGAGTGGGGTTCTGCCAGGAGGACAGGGGCTCAGAGAGACAAGCAGGTTAAGAGTGAGCGAGGAGTGACACAGTGTCAGGCCCTGGGGTCCAACCGAAGGGATGGGGAGAGACAGCTCCAGCAGCAGATTCGGGTGCGTGCGGAGTACACAGGAGTTGGCTGTATCAGTCTTGTACTTTCCCAAACTTTTAAGCTTTTCAAAACTAACATGCAAGTGTGAAAATTTCATTTCCTCTACTTCACCACCCTACGTCCGACGGGACCGTCATGTCAGGCTGAATTCCTGGGACAGCCTCCCAAGTGGCCCGCTCCGTGTCCTGCGCTGCCCATCAGAGTTCTAGCTGCACAAAGCAGAGGAACATTCTTGAAGGCTCGAATCACATCACCACCCTGTCTAAGGCCCTATCAATACCCAACTATCACAGCTCATCTGTTTACCAAATAAGTAACACATGGAATCGGAACTTACCACCTAAATTGCTGAGTCATTGTCAAAACAAAATGAAACCACAACAATGATGAGGGAGATACAGTCACCAGCCATTTAATTTTTTCTCTCCTCTCTCCAGGTAGCTCAAGCTGTGGAGGCTAATTTAAATGCCACCTTCTGGCCAGGGACCTGTCTGTTCCTGGTAAGGAAGCTCCGTGGACCCCAAGAGCACTGGCAGGACGTGGGGGAGACCCAGACTTGTGCACACGCTCCTCCTGAGACCACTGTCCCCTTCCTGACCTTCTCCCCTCACTGCCAGGACCTCGTGAAAACCAGTCTCAAGAAGGGCTCATGATGAAAGCCAATCACCTACTTCCCCTTAAAGCCTCATCAGAACGGATCCCCGGCCAGTAAGGGTCTCAAGCAGTGTGAGTGAAAACCACCACACGTCCGCCAGCCCGATGGGGGACCCCCCCCCCCCCCTGGTGGGGGGGGGGGGGGGGGAACTGCACCAGCACTTGGACGGGCCATGCCCGCCAAAGCTCGGCAGCCACACATTCCATGACCCAGAAACCCCACTGCAGACACAGGCCACCAGCCACACGGGCGCTCGGTCAGTGCGACGGCACTTGGCGGCGGCGCATTCAGAGAAGAAACCACTCGCGTGCCCACCAACAGGAGAAAGATGCTCCCATGGTGGAGCATTCACAGGGTGACACCACCCAGCCATGGAAGCGGATTTCAGCTACACACCGACCAAATGGATTAATCTCACCAAGAAAATACTGAGGAGCACTTACAGTGGGATCCCCTTTATATCAAGTCCAAAAGCAGGGGGATCTAATCCGGTGTGAATACTTCCAAGGGGAGGAGGGCCCTGGGGAATGTGCACCCCATACGTGCGTGTCTTCTGTCAGCAGCGCACCGCGCCGCGCCTCCCCCACATCCTGTTTACTGAGGTCTACCTTGTCCCGGATTCCCATCCCCACCGGGTCCTGGGCTTCCCCGAGTCTGACTCAAGGGCCCGCCCTCCCCAGCCCTCCCCAGCCCTGGCCTCCAAGCCCGGAGCTGCCCCGAAGCCTTCTCAGACGGCGGTGCTCTGCTCGCGCTCCCCGGCCTCCACGGCCTTTGGCGGCGCCCCCAGACCCCCGGGCAACCATCTCTGCACACCTCGTCCTCTGCCCACGCTTCCTGTGCGCCAGCCCCCGCCGCACTCTGCTAGTGATTCTGCCTATTTCGCTCAAACCAGAAGCGCCCAGAACAGATCCTCCGCACAGTCGCGCCACCAGGAGGCCCCGTCCCACCTAGACCCCTCGAGGACTCTGCTCCAAAGACAACCTTCCCGCTCTCTGCGGCACCATCCTTTTTCCCCCCTCTACAGATGAGTCCTAATTTCACACAGAAATACTGTAATCGCTTATCTTAAAAAAAAAAAAAAAAAAAAAAAAGCTGATCTCCACTTCATCCTCTTTAACGCAGAGCTGGACAGTGCTCTGTCCTCACGGTCTCTGCCTCCTCTCTTCCCACTCCTTCTGGAGCCCACTCTAAGGAGCGTCTGCCTCCACCACTGGGCAAGGTCACTTGCTTCAACACACCCAGGTCCTTTCCCACCATGGCCAGACCCATTCTCTCCTCTGTCCGTGAACGTGTAAGACATGTATCAAGGGCACTGGCCACACCATTTACCTCATGCTCCACAGCATGCCAGAGTGCATGCATATCTACTGTAGGAGCTCCAACAGTAACACAGATAATTAATCCAGTGACAAGAGGCTTTGGGAAAATCACACTCAAAAAAACTTAAGATGCTTTACTATATATTCAGACTTAGAAGTACTATCTACTCTCCCAGGACAAAAAGTCTAATGAGCATGTCAGATAAATCAGAGAATTTCCGCTTCTTAGGGTGAAAAACATTACACATTTATATAAAAAAGTGGAAAATTTTCTACTAACAGACACAAATAAATAAACATGCGTGTGTATAGCATTTCTGTCTTTTTAAAGCAGATCACCAAAGGCAAAAGTTCTCTTTCAGAAACCAGACATGAACTGATAGAAGTGAATTATAAGCCTCCACCAAACATAAAAAAATGGAAAACCACCTGTAAGAAATATACTAAGGTTCTAAACTAGAGACACTATAATCTTAAAAGCACTCGAAATTGAGTTTCTCCAAATTATGAGTGGACTGTATAAAATGTGACAAAGCAGGGCGCCTGGGTGGTTCAGTTGGTTAAGCGTCTGCCTTCAGCTCAGGTCATGATCTCAGGGTCCTGGGATCGAGTCCTGCGTCGGGCTCCCTGCTCAGCGGGGAGTCTGCTTCTCCCTCTCCCTCTGGACTCTCCCTCTCTCTCTCAAATTAATAAATAAAATCTTTAAAAAAAATGTGACAAAGCAGAAAAATCTGAACATTGTTTTCTAGTCAATCACTAAAAAAAAAAAAAACAGTTTGTAGCAAATTATCTAAATAAACTGGAAAAGTCAGAAGGGAGAACTGAAAGTCATTTTCTCTGCTCTAGAATAAAGAGTATTTTAATAAAAGGAAGGAACTGTATCTTAGGAATACAAAAATAGTTTAAGATCTGAAAATGAACCAACATAATAATACACCATATTAATAGAACGAACAGACAGAAACCACATGGTTATCGCCTGTGCAAAGCATTTGACAACATCCAACACCTCATCACGTTAAAAGCACTCAATACACTAAGAATAGAGGGGACCTTCCTCAAGTTGATAAAGAGCACCTATAGAAAAAGCCACAGCTAACATCATACTTAACGGTGAGAGTGGATGCTTTCCCCATAAGATCAGGAAGAAGACAAGGATGTTCACCCTGACCATTTCTGGGAAGCTTTCTCCTGAAGGTTCCAGCCAGGGTAATTAGCCAAGGAAAACGAAAGGCATCCAGATTGAAAAGAAGTAAAACTTTTCTTGTTCAAAGATGGCATTACTTTGTACGCAGAAAATCCTAAGGAATCCACAAACCACTATCAGTGCTAATAAACAAGTGTAGTGAGGACTCAGGACACAAGAACAAACACAAAGATCAACTGTATGTCTACACACCAGCAATGAACAACCCAAAATGAAATTAAGGAAACAATTCCATTTACATAAGTATCATCAAAAATTATAAGGTACTCAGGAATAAATTTAACCAAAAGATGGCAAGATTTCTAAACTAAAAATTGTAAACCACTGTTGAAAAATTAAAGAAAACCTAAAGAAATGGAAAGATTTCATGTGGAAACAGAAGTATTCTCCAAATTAATGTACAGACTACAGGCAACACCCCTATAAAGCCCCAGCAGTCTCCCCCACTCCATCACCCCACAGCAGAGAGTGACAAGCTAAATCTAAAAATGCATGTGGGACTGTAAGGGACCCAGAATAGCCAAAACAATTTTTAAAAAGAACAGAGTTGGAGGACTCACACTTCTTGATCTCAAAATTTTACTGCAAAGCTACAATAATTAAGACAGTGTGGTACTGGCATAAAGACAGACATACAGACCAAGGGGACAGAATTCAGAGTCCACACAGATACCCTTGCATCCATGGCCAATTCATTTTCAACAGAGGTGCCAAGACAACTCAAGGAGGAAAAAAACAATATTTTCAACAAATGGTGCCCGAGACAACTAAATATCCACATGCAAAAGAAAGACAGTGGACCCTTACCTAATGCCACATACCAAATTAACTCAAAATGAGACAAAGACCTAAATATAAGGGCTAAATCTATAAAACTCTCAGAAGAACACAGGAGGAAATCTTTGTGATCTTGGATTAGGCAATGGTTTCTTAGATAAGACACCAAAAGCGTTGCAGACAAAAGAGAAAAAAAAGATAAGTTGGACATCATCTAAATTGAAAATTCTTGTGCATCTAAAGACACCGAGTGAAAAGACAATGCACAGAGTGAGAGGAAATACTTGCAAATTATGTAGCAGGTGAGGGTCTAGCATCCGGAATATATAAAGAACTCAATAATTTTTTTAAAAAGTCAACTAAAAAAATGAGCAAAGGACTTGAATAGACATTTTTTCCAAAGAGAATATACAAATGTTGAATAAGCACAGGAAAAGATGCTCAACATCCTTAGTCTCTAGGGAAATGCGAATCAAAAGCATAATGGGATAGCACTGCATGTCTGTATTACAATGGCTAAACAAAAAACCCCAAAACACCCTACAACTGTTGGCCAGGATGTAGAGAAACGAACCCTCACACATTGCTTGAGAGACTGTGACATGGTGCAGCCACTTGGGAGAACAGTTTGGCATCTCCTCAAAAAGGTAAACAGAGTTAGCGAATGACTGAGCAATCCCACTCTTAGGAGTTATGCCTGAAAAAACTGAAAACACCACATCTACGTAAAAACTTGTACAAGAATATTCACAGCAACATTATTTAAACAGCCAAATAATGGAAACAGCCCAAAGCGTTCATGAAATGAACTGAAAAACAGAATGTGGTCTATATTCACACGATGGAATGTCATTCAGCCAAACAAGGAATGAAATACTGACCCGTGCGAGATTGTGGGTGAACCTTGAGGACATTTTGCTAAGTGGAAAAAGCCAGGCATAAAAAGCCACCTAATACATGATTTCATTCCTACAAAATGTCCACAATAGGCAAAATCATAGAGACAGGAAGGAGGTCAGTGGCCGCCAGGAGGTGGGCAGGAGGGAATGAAGAGGGACTGACTGCTAATGAGGTTTCTTCTGGGGGAGGAAAATGTTCTAGAACTAGACAGTGATGACGGCTGCACAAGTCAGTGAACATACTAAAAAATACCCGACCGTACACTTTACAAGTACGAGTTTTACGCCGAATGAATCATTGTCTCAATAAAGCTGTTATTTTTACAAGTATACAATAAAAATGATTGGACCAAGTCACCGGAAGGGCCCTCACAACTTGTAACATTTCTCAATTGTATTCTGAAAGTACACCGGATTATTTCAAGTTTTTTCTAAACAGAAACCTATGAATTGTTCGACAAAACACTATTTTTAATCCCATTTCACTTAAACTGAAAGAGCCTTTGTTTCTTTTGGCTACTTCTGGCAAGCATGTGCGTAAGGTGGCAAAGACCAGAGAGGTCAGGAAAATCTGTTCACATCATTACCCAACTACAAGTCTTGTCAGACCAATTTCAGTGGACCTCAAAACTTAGGAAGCCACATTTCACTTGTTAGAGCCCCTCAGAGATTTAACCACTCTTCAAGGAAAATCTGACTCATACAGAGTATTATTCCATGCTCTATCCCCCTCCACCCCATCCTAAAAAATGAGAAGTTCTGATCCCCAAAGGCCATCTGACAGAATACAACCCCCTCTCCTGCAGACACACTGAATAACGTGAATGGTCATTAGGAGACTCTATGCTTACTCTCCGGAACAGTGACTCCTTCAGGAAACAGCCGCTGTGTGGACCAC